GTGAATTGGTGGGTTTTTGTTAAATGTGAGCCAAAATCATCACAATTAAAAGAACCAAAGATTTAAACTACTTCAGTCTGTGTGCATTGAATTTATTTAATACACGAGTTTCACAATTTGAGTTGAATTACTGAAATAAATGAACTTTTCCACGACATTCTAATTTATTGAGATGCACCTGTATAAATGAATTTTGCATCTGATGACCCCTTTAATATCCTAATGATTTTTGCCATAAAAGAAAAATCGATCATTCTGACCCATGCAATGTATTTTTGGCTATTGCTACAAATATACCCATGCTAATTAAGACTGATTTTGTGGTCCAGGTTCACATAAACTATATCTGCATTAAACTGGCCATTGGTCACCCTGCTTCCTAGATGTCACTATCGAAGCGTAGATGTCTCTATCTAACCTTAACCCAAATCTACAGTTAATAATAGCACTATGTCCAAACCTCCAACAGCTCAGCATGGAGCAGCAGGGTGTAAGCAGCTTCTGTGTAGTTCTCACAGTCCAGATGTAGATCCCGTAACTTGTACAAATACCTAATGAAAGATCACAAAACACAGATCCATCCATTAGATTCATCCATGTGCCATCAGCAAGACAAGAAGTTTTAATCATCTAAAACTCTTACCGGATATATATATCCTCCCTCTTCTTTTCTTTGTAAAAGTTCTGTGGATGTGAGAGAGAAGATACAGAGATGGAATTTCATTAAAGTTTCTAAGCAACTTTTATGGCCGATTGGATCCTCGCTGGTCTTTCCAGCAGGTTGAGCACATAATAAGGTATATTTATAAATACTGCAGCTGTGTTTGAGAGTTCTCACCAGGACGTTGACGGTGCAGCTCATGCGGAGCTCAGGGCTCTCATCATGGGTGATGGTGCGGTAAGCCAGCAGGTTCTCCAGCAGACTACTTAAGAGAAAAGCCAACGCCTCACCAGACTGAGACAGATACCGGTGCCGCCGACAGTACTCCAATAGCCTGGACACAACACACACACACACACAGAGTACACAAACTAAGTACAGATAGCCTAATGAAATATTACTCCAGTAAAAGTATTAATAAATACATTTTCATTTTTACTTCAGTTAAAGTACAAAAGCACTTGATTTTTAATGTACTTAAAAAGGACCGATTTCTGAACCATTGTTTAATTTTTTATTCTAGTCGGCACTAGTCTGAATAGTCAGTACTAATAAGTTTAGTGCGGACATTATATGCATTAATCTGCAAATAAGCAAACCTTTTTTTTATTTTTTAACCAAAAGTTATTATATTCTATCAAAACATGAAACTTCAAAATAATAAAATAGCAATTCAAGTTACAGATAATTCAAGTGTGCAAACAAGCAAAATCATCACAATTAAAAGAACCAAAGATTTAAACTACTTCAGTCTGTGTGCATTGAATTTATTTAATACACGAGTTTCACAATTTGAGTTGAATTACTGAAATAAATGAACTTTTCCACGACATTCTAATTTATTGAGATGCACCTGTATAAATGAATTTTGCATCTGATGACCCCTTTAATATCCTAATGATTTTTGCCATAAAAGAAAAATCGATCATTCTGACCCATGCAATGTATTTTTGGCTATTGCTACAAATATACCCATGCTAATTAAGACTGATTTTGTGGTCCAGGTTCACATAAACTATATCTGCATTAAACTGGCCATTGGTCACCCTGCTTCCTAGATGTCACTATCGAAGCGTAGATGTCTCTATCTAACCTTAACCCAAATCTACAGTTAATAATAGCACTATGTCCAAACCTCCAACAGCTCAGCATGGAGCAGCAGGGTGTAAGCAGCTTCTGTGTAGTTCTCACAGTCCAGATGTAGATCCCGTAACTTGTACAAATACCTAATGAAAGATCACAAAACACAGATCCATCCATTAGATTCATCCATGTGCCATCAGCAAGACAAGAAGTTTTAATCATCTAAAACTCTTACCGGATATATATATCCTCCCTCTTCTTTTCTTTGTAAAAGTTCTGTGGATGTGAGAGAGAAGATACAGAGATGGAATTTCATTAAAGTTTCTAAGCAACTTTTATGGCCGATTGGATCCTCGCTGGTCTTTCCAGCAGGTTGAGCACATAATAAGGTATATTTATAAATACTGCAGCTGTGTTTGAGAGTTCTCACCAGGACGTTGACGGTGCAGCTCATGCGGAGCTCAGGGCTCTCATCATGGGTGATGGTGCGGTAAGCCAGCAGGTTCTCCAGCAGACTACTTAAGAGAAAAGCCAACGCCTCACCAGACTGAGACAGATACCGGTGCCGCCGACAGTACTCCAATAGCCTGGACACAACACACACACACACACACAGAGTACACAAACTAAGTACAGATAGCCTAATGAAATATTACTCCAGTAAAAGTATTAATAAATACATTTTCATTTTTACTTCAGTTAAAGTACAAAAGCACTTGATTTTTAATGTACTTAAAAAGGACCGATTTCTGAACCATTGTTTAATTTTTTATTCTAGTCGGCACTAGTCTGAATAGTCAGTACTAATAAGTTTAGTGCGGACATTATATGCATTAATCTGCAAATAAGCAAACCTTTTTTTTATTTTTTAACCAAAAGTTATTATATTCTATCAAAACATGAAACTTCAAAATAATAAAATAGCAATTCAAGTTACAGATAATTCAAGTGTGCAAACAAGTTAGCATGTAGTGTTTTAAAAATGAGGAAAATATATATGTGCAGAGAAAGTATACAAATACAATGTATGGACGTAACATGGGGCAAAAAAGCTATACCATTTTAAGAGGAACGCTATGCAAACATGTTAGTTTGACATTGTTTTAAACAGCTACAGATGCATTGGCTTTAATTTGTGTAAATTTACCTTAAATAGCATATAGACAATAACAAAAACGCAAATATGTCCACATTCAAGCATTTCAATGGGCATAAACAGCTTGCCCCTTTTACAGCAGATTTAGTTTTCATACAGCTGACAGTGATCTTGATATAATTTTCAATAATCAATACTAAAATTAAAAATTAGCAACTTGCTTTTCTAAGTACAAAGCAATAAAAAATATGCATGATATATAAGTGGCAGCACATGGTAAGAGGAGAGAGAAAAAATCTCACGTTTTCTCCAGCAAAATCTTGTATTGTTCATCACCGCGGCCTCCTTCAACTTCCTGATCCAGTTTTGTGATTAGCTCATTCTCAAACTGCAAAGAGCACAAATGCTTCATCAAACTTTCTGACCATCATGCAGAAGCCTACATAGGCAACATCTTAAAGGGTTAGTTCACCCAAAAATGAAAATTCTGTCATTAATTACTCACCCTCGTGTTGTTCCAAACCCGTAAGACCTTCGTTCATCTTCGGAACACAAATTAAGATATTTTTGATGAAATCTGAGGGTTCTCTGACCCTCCCATAGACAGCAAGGTAACTACCATGTTCAAGGTCCAGAAAAGTACCAAGATGATCGTCAAAGTAGTCCGTGTGACATCAGTGGTTCAACTGTAAAGATACGAAGCTACGAGAATACTTTTTTGCGCAAAGAAAACAAAAATAACAACTATATTCCACATTTTCGTCTCTACTTGTGGATGCGCGTTCACGACAGTATCATGATGCGAGCGTGTGGCGGCGCTGACCCAGATCCGGCATAATGATGTCATCACGCCGGATCTGGGTCAGCGCCGGCGCCACCTCACCCTCACGTATATGATACTGTCGTGAACGTGCATCCACAAGTGAAGCAGTAGAGACGAAAGTAGTTACCTTGCTGTCTATGGGAGGATCAGAGAGCCCTCAGATTTCATCAAAAATATCTTAAATTGTGTTCCGAATATGAACGGAGGTCTTACAGGTTTGGAACAACACGAGGGTGAGTAATTAATGACAGAATTTTCATTTTTGGGTGAACTAACCCTTTAACAGACATGGACCCTCATCAGTTAATGGTCACTCATGCTCCCGCACAAATAGTGATTCCAACAGAAACGGGCTTTAACAAGTAGGGGTGTAATGATAAATAGATATGGAACGATGCATAAAAATGTCAAATTGTCATATATAGTACAATTAACTAGTATGCATCTTTATTTATGGTGTCACTTTTAATTATCAGGAAAAACCTCTCAAAAGAGACCACTAGAGGCTTGTTTGACTGTTATAAAAAGCTGAGCATTGAGCTGCCATCATCAAATATTTGATTTGTTAACTTTATTTTTGAATTTTATTTTTTTTATGTTTATTTTTCTGTAAAAATGCTTATTTTGTTGTGGATGTCCTATTGGGGATACTGGATTTGCACATGACTAGTGTCATTGCTTATCTCACTGCACAAGCAAATGATGTGTCACCAAACGACTGATAATCTTGACAACTGAACAGCTTGATTTGTATTTTCATTATTTATTTTTCTATATTATTTATAAAACTGAAGTATACTTTTTGTTGTGTATTTCCCAATTATGATCAAAGATTTGCTATTTTCAGAGAGTTAAATGTTCATGTTATATTTTGGTTGCATTTGTGCGTTGATAAAAATTTTACTGTTGGTATTAAATAGGCACAAATAGCAAAAACTTGTCACAACGCATTCTTAATTTTTGACCAAATCAACCAGCATCATGAGTGTGTCTATGATGCCTAAGCAAGTTGCCTAGTTAGACGACATCTGCAGGTTTTGAAACAGAACTTCTCAAAATGATGCTGGCACAGAAACGGCCCTCACCTTCTGAAAGGTGTGGTTGGTGCTGAAATGGTGTTCACATTGCATCATGTCAAAGAAGATGGGGATGGTGGCTTTCCTCAGCTCAGGCTCAGGCACTAACGTAGCTTCCAGGATCGGTCCCACCATCGCAGGGATGAACTTCATCTTATGTTGGCCTGGAAGTGACATGGCATCACAAAATAGCCCTAATTCCTTCAGAACATCAAAAAAAACTTAAAATATGCACTCTGTCTCAGCCAATAAAGACAAACACTACAGTAGTGATTTTACTCTCTATAAAAAGCCATTTGAACAAAAAGAAAGTCCTTTAGGACATTCTGTAAAAATTCCTCTCTACATTCGTCCACTTTTGTAATTGTGGTCGCTGTCTCTAACAGATAAGAAGCACAGGAAAGAGCTTTTACCAAGATTGTTCCACATATCTCTCAGCTTGAAGCCGATGCTTTTCCGCATGTCTCCGTACCTGTTTGCATTTTTAGAAACTCAATTTAAGATGTCAGCCTTTCAAATTAAAATGAACAAAAACCAACATTTGAACACTAGATCGACAATGTATCCGCAGGTCTCTCACTCACTTGTCGAGAATCTTGTTGCGTTTCTCGAGCGAGAAAGACTCCAGCTGCAAGGACTTATGGGTAAGGAAGGCAACAATCAGGTGAAAATAGTTGTTCCAAAGCTATTAAGGAAAAACAACAGGAAATCATCAGGACAAAACAATTTCCTGAGCACAAAATAGACAAAAATATATAAGAATATGGCAGATTTAAAAAAATTTACAGTCTTTACAGTAATTTCCTGCATTTGATGTTACCATGGTGTTCCAGCAAAGTTTTGGTGTTACCATGGTATTACTTAAATTCATGTGCGCACGCACACACACACACACACACACACACACAAGCATACGCATACAGAAGATGTTAATTTTTAACTGAACTTAGTAATATGCATATGCATAAGTTATATAATCTTATCATATCGAAGTTAGAAATTCAAATATTGTAACAAAATTAATTTTGTAGGGTGCCACAAGTTTGTTAAAATTTCCAAAGGGTGCCGCGACTAAAAAAAGGTTGGGAAACACTGATCTAGACAGAACACACTGAAGTGAGCTTCAGAGACAACTGAATAAATATTTAATGACTATGATGTTTCATTTCTGGTTGAAACCGAACCATAGGTTTACATCTCTGTATCTGCCATACACTTTTATCCAAAGTGACAATTACACATTTATTTACTTCTTTTAAAGGTGTGGTTGATTGCTATTTCACTTTTTTAAATGTTAGTTAGTGTGTAATGTTGCTGTTTGATCCTAAAACAACGAGTTACTTCCCAGGTCCGTTACGTCAAGAACCCAGAATTTTACATAAACCCCGCCTCCGGGGAACACGCTGCAAAGGGGGCGAGGCCATGCTGCGCTGCTTTAGAGAAAAGAAAGAGAAAACTACAGGTGCATGTAAAAATCAATTCATATATGAATCGCGATTCTGTCTTCTAACGATTCTAATGGATTCACAAGTTTCAAAATCTATGTTCTAAAGCAGCGTTCTCATCCTGTTCCTGGCCTCGCCCTGCTCTGTCTCTCTCTCTCTCTCATTCAGATCATCAGCTCAGTGAATACACTTATTTTCACATACTGTAGTTATGAGAAGTGTTATACATGGACGCGCGTGTGGTTGCCGAACTGTATTAAAGCTTTAATCAGAATAAAACCGTATATTAAAAGCTAACAGAAGCAGTAGCATTTACAAATAACAGCATATCTAAAAGTATGAGACAACAACAAACAAAAATCTTAGGCCTACCATTAAAAGCCATGCTTGCACAGGTTCTGCGCGATCCTCTTCAATAATATCCTCTGCGTCTCAATCGGGCTCAAATTGATAAGCAATATAGACGACGTCATTGTTTACAATACAACCGAAGCCGTTTTTAGGATTGGGACGGAAGCACAAGTTCTAATAATTACAGTAAGGCTAGTACAATGAACTTCTTTATCTCAGAAGATCAATTACATTTTTTCTCATGATATGGCTACAGACAACATTCTTTTTTTATCCAACACATAAGTACGGTTCTTTAATAATTGCATTAAAGGGTTAGTTCACCCAAAAACGAAAATTAGGCTGCGTTTTACTCACCCCCGAGGCATCCTAGGTGTATATGACTTTCTTCTTTCAGACGAATCCAGTAGAAGTTATATTAAAAATGGTCTTTGATCTTTCAAGCTGTTTAATGCCACTCAGCGGATGTTGCATGCATCAGTCCAAAAGAACTTAAATAAAAATCGCCCATCCATAAAAAAAGTGTCTCACACGGCTCCGGGGGGTGAACAAAGGTCTTCTGTAGTGAATCGATGTGTGATCTCTCCGCTGCGTTTTCACTTCTGAGCGGCGCATGCGCAAAGCCGACCTCATACGTCATTCCCCCGGAACTGCTTCTGTTTACAACAGTGAGCACAAGCTAAATTCAAGTGATTATTACGTTTTGAATATGGATATTGTTCTTACAAAAACGCATCGATTCGCTACAGAAGGCCTTTGTTCACCCCCCGGATCCTAGGTGTATATGACTTTCCTCTTTCAGACGAATCCAGTCGGAGTTTTATTAAAAATTGTCTTTGATCTTTCAAGCTGTTTAATGCCACTCAGCGGATGTTGCATGCATCAGTCCAAAAGAACTTAAATAAAAATCGCCCATCCATAAAAAAAGTGTCTCACACGGCTCCGGGGGGTGAACAAAGGTCTTCTGTAGTGAATCGATGTGTGATCTCTCCGCTGCGTTTTCACTTCTGAGCGGCGCATGCGCAAAGCCGACCTCATACGTCATTCCCCCGGAACTGCTTCTGTTTACAACAGTGAGCACAAGCTAAATTCAAGTGATTATTACGTTTTGAATATGGATATTGTTCTTACAAAAACGCATCGATTCGCTACAGAAGGCCTTTGTTCACCCCCCGGAGCCGTGAGAGACACTTTTTTTATGGATGGGTGATTTTTATTTAAGTTCTTTTGGACTGAAGCAATGCAACATCCGCTGAGTGGCATTAAACAGCTTGAAAGATCAAAGACCATTTTTAATATAACTCCGACTGGATTCGTCTGAAAGAAGAAAGTCATATACACCTAGGATGCCTCGGGGGGCGAGTAAAACACAGCCTAATTTTCATTTTTGGGTGACCTAACCCTTTAAGGATTATTTTAGTAATTAAAAAAATATATATATATTTGAAAAAAAATTTATTGTAATGTAATGTAATTCCATTTAATTAAAAAAATGCTTGCAAAAGCTGTTTACACTATTTTATTGACTTGTTATGCTTTTGGTCTTTATTTCACATCCAAATAGACCAAAAAGAAGTAACGCATCTCATTCATTTACTTATTATATGGTATTTATTTTCAAATACCTGACAAAACACAAAGTGTATCTTTAACCCACACTGACATACAAACAACCAGTCAGTAACTAACTACACTATTTAAGCCTCACAGTTAGTTGCATGTGTTAGATTCACTATACAGAGAAGATTTATGAGAGTCATTTCACAAATTACACTGGTTGCACTGCATGTTTGGGGTCTGTAAGATTTTTTTTTATGTTTCTGAAAGAGTTGATTTGATTAAAAATACAGTAAAATCAGTAATATTATGAAATATTATCACAATTTGAAATTACTGTTTTCTATGTGAATATATTTGAAAATGTAATTTATTCCTGTGATGCAAAGCTGAATATCCGGCATCATTACTCCAGTCCAGTGTTAGTGTCACATGATCCTTCCAAAAATCATTCTAATATGCTGATTTACTGCTCAAGAAACATTTTATACTTTTATATTATCAATGTAATTAAAACAGATTCATATTTTTGTGGAAACTGTAATATATTTGTTTTCAGGATTCTTTGATTAATAGAAAGGGGGGGAAAAACAGCATTTATGTAAAATAGACATATTTTGTAACATTACAAATTAATTTTACTGTCACTTCTCATAACTTTGATGCATTTTTACTGAACAAACATATACATTTCTCTTACGGACTATAAACTTTTGAATGGTAGAGTAAAAGAACAATTCGAGAGTCATCAGGCAACACTTGCCACCTTCCGGTTGGAAAAATGGTTCTGATTCAGTTGCCTAATATTTGCAGTGCTTTTTGGAGCAACATTGTTAATTACTGCTTTTTAAGGCATTGTGGCTTGGACAATATAGAAGCATGACAGTGTTTCCGGCAATATCATCTCGGTCATGCCTGAAGCGTAATTGTGTACTTGAAACCCCTTTACAGTCCTCGTTAAACTGACCTGCAAGTGGAAGTGAGTGGAGTCCAGGAAGTATTTGTTGAGAACATCCGAGTACTGGTCAATCGCCCGCAGAAAGACTTTCATTTGGTGAAGATTCATGATCATCCAGTCGGGCGGAAACACGTTGCCCATCAGGTTTTTGAACATGATGAAAGTCTCCATTAAAAAGTCCTAAAAAAACAAGGATTCTTGTTGTTAGGAGCATGTATGTGCACGCAGAGGAAAACTACGATTAGATGCAGACTGGCAAATAACATTTGTGTTTCGCACAGATAAGACTGAGCAGGAAAAACAGATGCTAATTTGAAGCTGCGCTTATCTCCGTTCTGACTCACTTCGACAGACAGCAGGGAACAGAGCCACATGCGTCGCATCAGTCAGCTGTGCAAAAGGTGGATTATTTATAACTTAACTCTCAGAGCACGGAAGGCTCTGCGATGATAGATGGGGCCTGCGGAGAGAGCGGGAGACTTACGATAATGTCCTGTCTGGTTTTGAAGGTGCTGATGTATTGTGCGTAATGTGCGTCTTCCATTTGTTTCAGGATAGCGGTCATGCATGCCAGGTAGTGGCCCTGTGTCCAGAGGAAGAGAAGAAATAATCAATAACTTTACATGTGCTGCCCACTCCACTGAGAAAACTCATAGCCATGGGCCTGGGCAAAGAAATAAACAAGTTAAGTTCAGTGGTCCAGACTGTTGTTGTTATGAGTTTCAGCAGGTGTCTGTGGGCTTCGACACTGTGCGGTCGAAACAACAACAGCTTTGACAGGAAGGTAAGCTGATTTAGCACTGCTAAATCTTTCTATAGCACTCTATTTTGTGGTGTGCCGGTGTCTTACTATGAAGGGAGAGTCCAAACTCAGGTTGATGACCGTACGGTTGACCCTCCGCAAGAGACGGTCCACAATTAACTTCACATGACCGGATGTGGGACCCTGAAAGCATAAAAAAGGTGAATGAAATGCATTGAAGGATGCTTGTATGAACCCCGAAAGGACTCTCTCTCATAAACAAACAGTGGTGTAACTTCAAATGACCTTATTTTGGAAATTTGCAACGTAACTGCTCCAGCAAAGAGATGCTCACAAGTCGCAAGAGTTTGACCTGAAATGTCTGCCTGTCTCAATGCATATCAACCGAAATGTCAACCGATCTTGAATGCGCTGTCATATCAACAAGCCAGCGAAATGCATCATGGTTGAAAGATCAGCCTGTCTGTATTCATACAAAAAGTCATTCATGTAGCCAGACATTTCACCAGGAAGTATCTACTGCTCGCCAAGGATGCATTTATTTGCTCAAAAATACAGTAAAAACAGTACGACTGTGTAATATTATTATAATTGAACTGTTTTGTAATATATTTTAAAATGCAATTAATTCCTGTAAAGTCAAAGCTGAATTTTCAGCATCATTACTCCAGCCTTCAGTGTCACATGATCCTTCAGAAATCATTTTAATATGCTGATTTGATGCTCAAGAAACATTTCTAATTATTGTCAATATTGAGTTGTGCTGCTTCATATGTTTGTTGAATAAAAGTATTGATTTAATTGTTCTTGCACATCCATTTTTGTGATTTGCAAAAACTAAAACATCTGGTTTTCTGAGATTTTGTTCTACATGATCTTGTTGACAATACAGCAAAATTTGCTACAGCATTATATAAATGTAAGAATGTGTTGAAAAATGACAAAGCAATCATTAATGTTTTGTGAAGAAAAAAAAAATAACAGTAAATAAATAAACACTAATTAAATATAATGTACTTATTTACTACAGTTAAAAAAGTTTGGGGGCAGTAAGAATTTTTTTAAGAGATATTGATACATTTATTTAGCAAGGATGCATTAAATTGATCAAAACTGAAAAATTTAAATAGATGCTGTTCTTTTTATTAATTTAATTCCATTCAGTTATTTAGTTTTGCCATCACAGGAATAAATGACATTTTAAAGTATATTTAAATAGAAAACAATTATTTGTGTAATAATATTTCACAAAACTACTGTTTCTATTGCATTTGTAATCAATCAAATGCAGCCTTGATGAGCATAAAATACTTTTCCAAGTATTACAAAAATCTTACCGACCACAAAATTTTGCAGCACAATTTTTACATGTACCATATTACAAAAAATATATATTTATAGCAAATATTAAAAATGCATAGATAAATCAATATCTATCATTCTTTTGTAGTGGGGGGCCAATGAAAATGTTCAGAGAGGAAGTCAAAATAACTGAGCCAACAAAAAACAAATCCTGACTGAATAATTTATTGGGAATGTGTAAACACATCTCTGTTTCCCATTGGACTGATAAAGCCTGTACTCCCTGACTCCTGGAAATTGCATAAAGCCAGCCAATTAGTTTGGCTCCTGCAGTTTTGCTCATCAGATGGTCTGAGGCTGAGATAAAGCTCCTCATAACTGGCTGAAGTTGTTAGGGATGCTCAACCTTGAATTTTCAGCATCATTACTCCAGTCTTCACTGTCACATGATCTCTTTCTGAAATTATTCAAATCAACAAGCAATCATTCTAATCAACGATGAATAAAAAAATTCAAAAGAATAGAATTTATTTGACATTTTTTATAACTATCTCAACTGTCACTCACAGCAATGTTCGCTTTACCTGAGCTCCACAGCGTCAAAGACCTTCTGCAAGTCATTGATGATGGCGGGAAGATATTTCAAGATTGCTCCCTAGGAAAAAAGCAGATAAACAGAAGGTTCACTACATACATAGTGAAAACACAAAACAGTAAAATTTTGAAATTTTAAGAAGTAATTTATTGCTGTGGTGTGAAGCTGAATTTTCAGCATCATTACTCCAGTCTTCACTGTCACATGATCTCTTTCTGAAATTATTCAAATCAACAAGCAATCATTCTAATCAACGATGAATAAAAAAATTCAAAAGAATAGAATTTATTTGACATTTTTTATAACTATCTCAACTGTCACTTTTGATCATTTTATTTACATCTTTGCTGAATAAGAGTATTAATTCTTTGAAAATAAATCTTAATCTTCAATGTGTTTTTTACAAATCTCTCTGTTCACCAAAGGTATCCATTAACATTTCTTCTAAACGTCCATGTAAAAAAAAACCTGCCTTTATCTTAACTCCTTCATCCAGAGGTCTGTCCATCAGATTGCTGATAGAAAGAAATAAAGTCCGAATGGAGTCGAGAAACTGCCCACCATCTTCACTTTTCCCATAAAACCTGACAAACAACAAACAGGAAAAAAAAACATTTTCTAAAGAACATTTGAGTGGAAACATCACCACAACGATTGTAGGGTGTTGTGGGTGGATGCCAGGGCGTTAAAAAATTATTTCATATCATTTTTGTCTGTAGCACAAACAGTGTGGGATGAGTATTTATTCAACTCTATAACAAGTATGAGCAATAGTAACAGAGATTATTGCCTTAAAGCACCACTAAGGTCTGTCTGTCTATCTATCTAGACACTGAGCAATAAATATGCAGCATATGGATGCATGTAATCTTATTATGCAATAAACAGGCTGGACTGTAGATAGGTTTACCATATCAAAAATGTCTTTGAACAATGCTCTTAATTTAATTTGCTTTGTTGTGTTTCATATGGAGGTCCAATAGCCCCATGTGTTTGTTCAGATATAGAAGCGAGCGATTTCTAAAGTATCTTTTTTTTTTTGCTGTTGCTTTTTCATTTGCATTGTCAGATGAAGGACAAGTTCAATCAAGCCCCTCCTGAAGGCTATTTCTGAGAGCAAATAGCCTTCTAAAATGTTAGTTCAATCAAGCCCTCCTGAAGGCTATTTCTGAGAGCAAATAAGAGCCGGTACCCACCTCAAATAGAGGATCCGAGACTGCACAATGAAATGAAAAAGATACTTGAAGGCTTTCAAGGCCGCATACAGTCGCTCCGTATGAGCCGAGTCCTCAGCATGGCCCACAAAATAATTCAACACTTTGGTCAACTTCCTGTGAACAGACAAGGCAAACCGAGGCAATTACGGCATGCTTGCAAATCAGTACAGGTCACAACCGAGAATGTCACTGGACAGGTGTATATAGAGAACAAGTGAGAGAAGGAGAGAGTGTTAGTGTGAGATGGCAAGGTGAGAATTAAATGTGGACAAAAATGGCCAAGTTATATTAAAACGCATGAACTGTGACCCAAAAGACAGAAACTCTTACTGGTACGCCAGAGTAGCGCTGAAGTGTTTGCTAATGTAGGTCTCCAAAACAGGGTTGAAATGCTGAAACTTTATGTCGCCAATGAGTGAGATGATGAAAACCTGGACAAATCAAGCAAAAATACAAGGTCTAGCCCTTCATATTATAATCACTTATAAACATCCTAACTTCAAGTTTTGAGACAACATTAAATCTAAATTGATTTCTTTAATAAATGTCTCTCATTTTGAATGATTCATCAGAAGAAAATCTAATTTAATTGTATTTCATCATATTGAACTCTCAGCCTCTGAAAAACTAACTTTCTTTGCTTCTTATGCAACCAAGATCGATTAGACAGAGAAAAGCAATTATTACTAACTTGATTTTTACATTTTCTGACATGATGCACAACCTCAAAGCACAACGTCTCAAGGCTTGTCATTCTCTGTCCCAAATGTAATGCTAAACCAGCGGTTGAAAAAGCGGCTGAAATCAATAAAAATCACCCGAAATAAATAATGGTTTTCATAGACACCAAGCACACATCACATGGCGGAATAATCTGACCTGTATGTCTGTGAGGGGGAAGACATCCCACATGCAGATGGCGATGTGGCGTGTTATGGCATTAAGGTTACTCATACAGATAACTAATGAAAACGCAATGATACGGCAGAGTGCTCTTTATGCAGTTTGTAACTTTAATGTAACTTTTCTGCAATCATTTAGTCCCAAAAAGCAGCGTGATTTGGAGTATCACAATTAGAAAAGATAGAGCAAAGTTTAATACTTGTTCAGATCCCGAACACAAGTAAAAGTGTTGCTCACTCAGAACAATCTGCCCACACTACGACTTTTCATTCGTGGTTACTCGAAAATGATTTTTTAAAGAACAATATTATTCAAATTGCATGACAAATTTTACAGTTAACTAGAAAAATACACAGAAAAATAATTGTCTTTATAACTTTTAATATAATCATTTGTAGTATTATTAATGATGTTAATATGAATATGAATATACCTATTGATATTAACAATAATATTAATAGTATTATTAATATTTTATTACTTTCTGTCACAAGATTTTATTATTATTAGTAGTAGTAGTAGTAGTATTAACTGGTATGAATATTAATATCAATGTGATTGTTGATATGAATATTAATACTAATAGTATCATTAATATTAATATTTAATATTTTACTCTTTAGACAATTGTAATATTTTTATTATTATTAAATATGAACTTAATTGTGATTGTTATTTTTCTTTATTAATAAAAATATATTTCATATTTAGTGTAATTATTATTATGTTAAAATCTCTAAAAAGTAATAGAAAGTAATAAAACAGTATTCATGTTACTATGAGTATTAATATTAATATAAATAACCAATTTCATATTAATATGTATCTAAAAGTAATGAAAAGTACTAAAATATTAGAAAATCTATCTTTTTATAATTATTATGTATTTTTCTATTTAGTAATGAACAAAATCATTGCAAAAAAATCCTTATTCACTAACAAAAAGTCATGGTGTGAAAAGCTTTTTTAGTGAGCAACACTTTCACTGAGACTACGGATCTGAACAAGTATTAAACTTTGTTTTGTAAATTTTTGTAAATGTTCTATTTGTGATACTTAGAAACATTTGACTTTTGGGGACACTGCACGAAAGTGAAAGCTTACCAAAAAAAAATTTTTTTTAATAAGTTCTCTGATATTTCCAGGCTGGAAATTCTCAATTTGTCCATTACTGGAGAAACTCATCATAAGAATAGGTTGGCAACTGGTGGATGTCTAAAGAGAGAGTTAAATAATCAATACTTGCCAAGGCATTGAAAACTAGAGTATCGTAGGTTTCTTCCTCAGAGGTCTCCATCATGATATTAAAGAGAGCGTCCAGTGTGTCCTGCAGGAACTACAGGAACACACAACAAAAAACATTAGATCATAAAGCAGCATTATATAGAAGGCCAAGTGTTGTTTTCTCACAACCTTACTTTAATAATCTCCCCTCCTTCCACTTCCATCAGTTTCTGAAGAATTTCTTCAAGTCTCTCAGTGTTTGATCTCCAGTTGAGAAGCCCCAGAAGGTCAACTGAGTCGGAGGAAATTAAAAAAGTTATAGAAAGCCAACTACCACAAGAACTTTGCTGTCTCATACGGTTACATATGGCTTTTAAAGTGATAGTTTAGGCCGAAATGTTGTTTAAAACCATATGATTTTTCTGAAATTTTCAGAAGCCATGCAACAGCATGAGGAAAAGAGGTAATGTGTGTAAAAACTATCTACTATCTAAGCTCAATATGCAGAGGCATCGGTAAATGTCAGCTTTGCAAAGACATGAGGGTAAATAACAAGAACAGAATTTTTGGGTGAAATATTGTTTTTGGAGAAAATAAAACAAAAGGAAATGGCTCTTACCGTTTTGTGTAAGCTTTGTGGAACAGGTGAGGGTGGCGATCTGGAAGCTGTCTTTGGTGATGGGAATGATGCCGGCATGATGGAAGGATTTTCCCATCTGTCTCTCTTTCTCTTCCACTTCAACATACGAGCCAGGAAGAGTCAAATATGTCTTGGCGTCGTCAGCTTTCTTCACATCCACCTGTAGAAACAGAAGAGGAATTTGTAGTGGCACTGCATATTTGAGACATTGCAGTCCGGTGGAAGAGTAAAGGTCTCTGCACACTGAGTCCAAAATGTTCGCACGTTGAAAAATAAATACGGCCTCACGTTGTGTCAATCACGTTTACGCACTGCCTCCGAAACTTTCGTCTGTCATAAAAAAATTCGGACCAGGCTCGATTTTCTGCGTTTTCGCATCCGTAGCAAGCATTTTGATAGCAAAGAATGACAAAAACGGAAAAAAAAACGGAAAAACGCATATGAAAGTTTCGGCCTCAGTGTGCAAGGACCTTAAGGCTCACAAGAACAGATACTGCTGCTTTAAAGGGAAGTTCAGAAAAGTTTGAAGAGATCTACATGAAGAAGTTACCAATCAAGATGAGTTTTAGAAGCCAAAAATCTTATAGCAAAGAAAGTACACTACTTTATTTTCTTTTTTTTTCAAATTTGACAGAAATTAATACTTTTATTCAGCAAGAATGCATAAAATTAATATAAATGTGACAGTAAAAGACATTCATAATGTTACAAAACATATCAAATAAATGTCCTTCTTTTGAACGTTCTATTCACCAAACAATCCTGAAAAAAATCTATAATGGTTTCCGCAAAAATATGAAGCAGCAAAAAATGTTTTCAGTGTTGATAATAATCAGAAATGTTTCTTGAGCAGTTAATCAGCATATTAGAATGATTTCTGAAGGATCATGTGACACTGGAGACTGGAGTAATGATGCTGAAAATTCAGATTTGTCATCACAGGAATAAACTAAAATTTAAAAATACAAAAAAAAAAACAGTTATTTTAAATTGTAATAATATTTCACAATTGTCTGTTTTACTGTATCAAATAAATCCAGCATTGGATGATTATAAAAAGAAAAAAACTTTTGAAAAGTAGTTTAAAAATCTAAAAGATCAAGGTCCCTTTTTTTTCGATATTCAACTTTAAAGTACTATTCTTCAATTTTTACTAGAGTATGGAGAAAATGCTTCATTTTTAAAACAAATCTGAATCAATTAATAAGCAATATAACCACAAAAAATTATTTGACCAAAAAAAATTACAGAAATGTGAAGCTTTTAATTTTACAAAAACACTTGCATTGATTTTTCTGTTAAAACTTGTACATTATTTGAGCTGTAAAGATGTTCTTGCCACTTTTACATTTTAAGTGTTATGTTTTCATGGCAACAAATTTGTAATCTGGATATAAAACTGGAAATACGTAAATATGTCAAACTGGATATAATGTTGCACAGAAAATGTTATTAGGCAATTATTTGACACTAAATTCATGATAACATGCATAACGCTTTTTATTTTGCAGTAATCGATATTAAGTTGAGTCAATTTGCACTGAACCAAGAACATTCCTTAAAGATGCCCACCTTGTAGACAATGAGTTCATGTTTTCCATCTGGAAGTGTGGTGCCATCTGACTTCATCAGGCGAACAAAAGCCATGCCAAAAGGCTTCTCGGACTTATCTCTTGCTACAGAAATGTAAGCACACAGATACTCAACTTAAAAACAAGCCTGAATATACAATAGCACAGAGGTTCTCAACCTGGGGTCAGCAAAAATGCTAATGGGGTCAAGAGATATCTGTATGAACGCCAGCTTATATATTCTTTATATGTAAAAAAAAATACAATTTCAAGCATAAATTTTTTTTGCCCTATGTTGAACCTACAAACAAAATATGCAGGTTTTCTTGTACATAAAATACCAAGTGAAATGCACACTACAAACGTGACCTGCATGAAAAGGTTGAGAACCCCTGCAGACACACAAAAGAGAACAGATATCACAGTCCTTAGCTTCGAAACAGTTCTAGCTACTTCAGCGCCATCTACTATAAGGTTCTGTGAACGTCTCTATGAGACTCACAATCTTGAGAAGATCTGTGTCTAAAGGTGAGCCTCAGATGACATCGACACACATCCTCAATGGGAATGGCCACCTGATGGACAGAAGAGAATTAATTAATATGAACCCTGATGTAGTTCTTAAGTTCCTTTCACATGAACCATGTCGAGGGCATCAATACACCTCTTAGCACAAGCGTCAGGAGTCACATTGACCTTGACATGAAAAACATTGCCAGAAGTGTGATTTTTCTTGCTAGGCAGCATGAAAGTGGCAGGTGTACGCAGTGAAAATAGCACAATCAAATGGAAGACGGAACATATTTGAGCTTAAAATAAGAAAAAATCCTGGCGACTACTTTAATACATGACAGAAAGAAAAAAAAGAGAACATACTCTCTCTTATGATATGCATTTCACACAGTCATGCGACTTTAGTTGCACAATTAACACCACCCTGCATCATATTTGCTAAATGAAATCCAGAACTTTTTTCTTACTCATTTTAGGGTGACAATTCCAAAAATAGTGACTGTTTTGCTCTATTACAGTATGTCACACTTCCTCACAAAATATGATGCATTTCGTAGAATTTTTGCTTTTATCTCTTAATCAGCAGATTAACTACCACAAATATATAATTTATATATTCCTCAGAGCACTGGCGTAACTTTGCTTTGAAAAGTGGTGGGGACACGGCGCAACTCGTTTTGCTAGTTTTTTATTGAATAACCTAATTTACTTGGGGACTGGGTTTAGAGCTGAACAAACTTAAGTTTTGCTATTCAAAAATACATTGATGTACCGGGGCAGCGCCAGGTGCTGAGGGGGTGCTAGATCATTGACAGAGGGAGCTGGGCAATTCAGGGTTCCAGACTCATTCTTCCCACTGGTCGCTCTTTTGCTATTAACTTTCTCAGTTGGCTGCACGAGCACTTTTTTTTTTTTTTCGCTACAACATGCTGTTAATCAATGCACGCTGATGAACTTTTATCGTAGTTTATAGTTATATGGAAACGAAAGTAGTTATCATTCAACCCGTACTTTTTCATCAGTAGTATTATTTGTGATTTGAATTTTGTCAAAAGTTCCTCTTTTGCCATGTTATAAGCTGGGCTTCGGATGCTTTCACGATCTTGTCAGGTTTTACAATAAAATATAATTGTCTGTTTTGCTTACATCTATACACCTTTCACGTTTTAAGACAAAAAAAAATTGATTCATAATTTTTTATTAAAATGCACAACAACAATAAAACAGTA